CCCCAGCTCACTACAACCTCCCTTTAGGAAGTTATAGAGAGCAAATCCCCCTTTGACGTCGTTGGCCACCAGATAAAAGAGGAGGCATTACTTTCGGAGCAGCCCTCGTACTTGCACTGGCAATCATTTAGCAGTACCTCTCCCCTCCACAGTCCTGGACACAATATGCCTGGCTGCAGAGCCCACCCCCTCCTACGGGTACCTTCAAGGTGCAAGAGATGAGAACTAGAGATGCCTCCAAGAGCAGCAGCAGCTCTCCCCAATACACCGCACACCCGACCGTCACTCCAGGTCCTTGGAGTAGTGAGCAGGAAGGAAGGGCAAGGCCAGGCACATTTAACCCGAGGCCCTCAGGCTGCCTACTGCCTGCCACAGCCCATCCCGCAGCTGCCTCCTGCCAGTGCAGTGGCTCTGCCTCACTGTGCGGCCTGGCCCAGCCCTGGGCATGCAGCCATTGCTCACAACGTTACAGAAGTGCCCTGTCAAGAGTCTGGGCTGAAAATGGGGCATGGAGAGGGGCAGAATCACAAGGTTGGAAACGACCTGCAAGATCATCCAGTCCAACCACCCTCCCATTCCTATTACTACCACAAGCACTAAACCATCTCTCGTAGCTCCTCATCTAGGCGCCTCTTGAACACTGCCAGGGACGCCGACTCCACCACCTCCCTGGGCAGCCATTCCAGTGCCTGACCACCCTTTGAGAGAAAAAGTTTCTCCTAATATCCAACCTAAACCTCCTCTGGTACAACTTCGTGCCATTTCCTCGGGTCCTACTATTTGCCTGGGAGAAGAGGCCAGACCCTTTTGCACCACAGCCTCCCTTCAGGAAGTTGTAGAGTGCAATGCGGTCTCCCCTGAGCCTCCTCTTCTCCAGACTGAACAATCCCAGCTCCCTCAGCCGCTCCTCAGAAGCCCTGTGCTCCAGACCCCTCATCAGTTTTGTTGCCCTCCTTTGAACACGTTCCAGGGCCTCAATGTCTTTCTTGCAGTGAGGGGCCCAAAACTGAACACAGCACTCGAGGTGCGGCCTCACCAGTGCTGAGTACAGGGGATGATCACCTCCCTGCTCCTGCTGGCCACACTATTTCTAATGCAGGCCAGGATGCCGTTGGCCCTCTTGGCCACCTGGGCACACTGTCGGCTCATGTGCAGCCGAGCATCAACCAACACCCCCAGATCCCTTTCCTCTTCACAGTCATCCAACCACTCATCCCCAAGCCTGTAACGCTGCATGGGGTTGTTGTGCCCAAAGTGCAGACGGTGCAGTGCTAACTCAAGCTATGGCAAATAACACTGCGCATTTTGATTCATTGCCTGAACACGGTCCTGTGAACAGAAAAAAACACGCAGCCTCGCTGCTTTGATACAGGAGTTTGAAAACAGGTTCCAAAATTGCTGAAAAAATCATCAATTTTTGGCATATTTGCGATTCCACTTTCAAATGATGTATATATATTCACACACAAGAAACTTCAGCATAACAGTGCTGTTTGCAATGGCAGATCTAAAGCCAGTGTCAACAGAGCTGGCAGAAAATCCTACTAAAGGCCTGATCTGTAGAAATTGAGCTGTATCTAAATGCATTGGTTGTGTATCTAAACTGATTAATTCTAATATTAAAGGTGAATTAAGTGACACTGTCAGCAACTGAAACCATTGAAACCAGCACAATCTTGCACTGGGCCATTTCCTCTGAATACAATTTACCAAATGAACTGCATAAGCTTGTTTAGAGCGCAGGAGAACACTTCCTTTCTCTTGTTCCTCCATCTTTTCCATGGCCATAGCTAGCTCTTCTATTGCTTCCAACAGGCTTAGGACAGTTCTGACAGACCCGGCTTAGCAATAATAAGATCAGCAGTCATACCTTAATTGAAAACTGGAGAGAAGAGGGGGGAAAAAAAGGCACACCCCACCCTCACCCAGCAGGTTTTACAAACTGTCCCTTTGCAGATTTAGAAGGATTTTACAGCTGTGGTCACCACAACAGAAGGAACGAGGCTTTAACTAAGTAGGGAGACTGTGCAACTGAGAGTATCGTTTGTAAGAAGAGTTTATGAGCCACTTCTAATGGCATTTACAGAATCTCTAGCTCAGATGATTCTGACACTGATGTCAGATCACACACTATGCTGGAGACAAGCCTGCTTTCAACAAGCTTTCCCATGCAGAAATGTGAATTTCGAAGCACTCAGTCACACAGTGTGAGACCACACTCTTATGATCAGAAATGTACTCAAGTTGTCCTCTCCATTTCAGGATTCTGGCACAAAAAGACCAGAAGACATAACTCTATGAACTTACAGGCATCACGGTACAGTGGAAAAATATCATGGCAGTCATCCAAATCTGGTACTAGCATTTCACCCTTCCCACACTGGCATTCTATTCATCTGAAAGCTGGCCAAGCTGTAATTGCTGAAGCTCACAGCAGTCACGTCACCTAGCTACACTCATACAATAGAGGGCAGGAGATCTTATTACATAAGTCTGGGACTTCATTTGTAGAATTGGGATTTCAGGTTTGAGGCCTTCCAGTAATGTTAGACAGGAACTTCAAGTTTCCATGTTTTCTACATATGATGATTTACTGGCTAACTTATGATTTGATAAGGAATTCTGTGCAGATGGGATATAAGTTCAGGTGGCATAAGATGACTCTCACAGTTAAGATATTCAGCTGTGTGGCCCACACTTGAAAACCAGATTAACAATGAAATCACTGATGTATTCTGTATGTTCACCCAATATTCTGTATGTTCTGGTTTCCTGAATCAACACAGCAGAGTAGAGCTGCATGCTTCACAATCATAAAATATTTTATCTTCTGCTACAATAAACAGCTTTGTAACACACCAAGCTAGGCTCAGAAAGATGACGGTGGATGTTGACATTTCAGTAAAGATACTAGGAAACACAGAATTCTGTTTCACTGCTGAGCTGAGTTACTGTGCAAATACCTGAAAAGACAGAAAACTGCTTCGAGTGAGGCACCATCTCCACCACCACGGCCCATCTGGCACAGCAGTAAGGAATCCAGAGCCCAGCCTTTCCACAGGAGTCTGAAAAAACTGAGGGAGCTGAGGTGAGTACTGCACCACTGGGAAGTCCTCTGCAGAGATTAAAACAAACTCCACCCCATAAGGATTTACTGTACACATGTTTACAGCAAGTGAAAATCCCACCTTCAGCAAGGCAATTCTTTTTACTAAGGAGTCTTGGTTCATGTTGTCAGATGTATGTGTGCAAAGCTGTGTTCTTGCAAAGAACACGCAGGGCTCAGGATTGGATCTGTGAGCCTGCCCTGTGTTTCCTTAGCTGTGGGGCATGCTGTCCTCTTAGGTGAGCTGGGGCAGCACACAAGTGCAAATTATCTCCTGCAACTGGGAACTGTAACACCACATGAATGTGTTTCATTAGCCTGGGTGCTGTGCTAATAATGGCATTTACCTGGGGGACGGGGGACTTTCCAAAGGCATTTAAGAAATGATAGCCTAGAATTTATTTTTTTATCATCATCTTATTTCCCTAAACTTTTCGTTGCATTCTCAATATAACAGCATGAGAAGGTACTGCACTCAGTATTATTAACATTCAAGGGCTGGTACTGCTGTTTCAAGATGCACCCTTTGCACAGAACGCAGATGCAGTAGACAAGCAGCAGCTGGAAGCCTCCATTTTGACAGACATTAGAAAGAACATCTAACAAATTATGCTGTAATGCAGATAACAAGGCCCAAACAGTGCTGCTGTAACAAACACTGACAACTCACTTTGCACACTGCAAAGGGAAGAAATAAAAAGCAAAGCATCAGCTGACAATGTAGTGCATGCTGAGACAGTATTACAGAAGAGCAACTCAAAAGCAAACTCTTAATTGAGGCTGATGCTGCCTGCTAGTGTATATATACTGAAATATGTTTACAGGAGAATGAGAGCAATTAAAACCTTTATGAAACAAAGGATCAATAGGGAATGTGTGGGGGAGGGGAAGAAATTATGATACCAAAACACCAATTAAGAAGCATATGAGTTTATGTAGAATCCTGCCACACAATACTTTGACAGCAATTCAAAGTGACTGAATGAAGAAAATGGAATTGATACATTAATTTTCTTAAAGCAACGCATGTCAGTTGAAGCATATATAATCTGAACAGTTTTATTGTAGGAATACTCATTGTGCACGCTCAAAAGAATGAACAAAACAGATGGAAGGTGGAAGATGTACCATCAGAAACCTACACAGACTAGCAGTATGTCATTTTCCATAATGTCATATCCTGTCTAGCCAGGACACTAAAAGGAGTTAAATATTTTCAAAAACCCATCAACATGGGGAACTAAGAGGTAGAGATTTAGGAAAAAACTCTGACATGATCTAAGCAAAAAAAAAACCAACAACATACACAGAAACCCACAGAGCAGTGTGTTATTACAAAAGCTCCAAAAATTGGGGAACCTGTAGTACTAAAAGCAGTCTAAGAACAAAAGAAAGCAGATTATGACGCGGCAGCACAAAAACTAACGTTCTAGAGGAAGAATTCCTCAGCACTCCTAAAGCTGCATCTGGAATACCATAAAATAGTAACAACAATCATGAGTTTGGGGGGAGGAGGGGAGAGAGAGCAGGAAGACAAATGAGAATTTCAAGATTTCAAGAGATTACAAAAAAGGCATAATTTAGAAGAGAGAATTTGCAAGCCAGGGAAAAACATCCAAAAATTGGCTACTTGGGTGTTTTTTGTTTTGTTTTTAAGTAATTAATAAGGTGAAGCCATTAGCTCAAGTAGATTTAGTTATTGAGAAGTCCACATGTCAGGTTAACTATGAAAAGTTATCCAGGATATTTTCATAAAATGCACATTGCTCAAAAACGAGTTTAAGAGCAGACTTTTTACAAGTATGCACTCAATTGGAGAACAACACTTCTAGCACGAGATATTTGAGTTTAGCCCTTAAGCAATTACATGGAATTGTTACAAGCCAACAGTGAGTGGTTTATAAAATGTAATTTTATTTAATGTTACTTTGCTGTTACAGAGGGCATAACATTTTCACAAGGCTTTTTTGGGACTACAATCAATGATTAGCAACACACAATAGTGGTCCGAACTCTCTAAATAACAATCACTGGACAAACTTGACACCTTCTCACATGTGCACAAACCTGCATGGAAAAGTACTAAATTTTATACTTGGACATGTGAACTTCAATTGGTTTTCCCATTCCAGTGTATTAAGAAATGACATGCACTTTAGTCTGCCAAAAAGCACTGCCTGTACTCCGGCAGTAACATGCTGCTTCTAATACATAGTCAAGTGAATACCAGAACTACAAAGGCAGGAGTGTAAGTGAACTTTTATTGGGAAGGGATATAAACTCAAACAGCAGCAACTGAAGATGAAGAGTAGCCCCTGTTTTCGAACACACGAGCTCCTGTCTTACATTATACAGGAAGCAATTCGATTTGTAAATTTCCAAGCTAGAAATGCTCAACTTGATCAGGACCAATACTTCCATACCTCTACTGAAAAATACACAGTAGCATGTGAAAGTCAATTATGGAAAGGAAAACCTGCAGAAAGGAGGGAATGTGGAGAATTAAAAGCTATGTGGAACACTCTTTAGTTGCAATTAACTACATTTTCATATCTTACTGTAATATAAAACACAGTCAACTGGCAGGAACTGGTTCAGATTTGTTTTTAAATACCAGGTACACTTTAGTCCGCTACATAAGTGTTTGGAAGTTACTTATGTTTATATGAAATGAAGCTATTAATACTTTTCTACAGCAGTAACCGCACACCAGGAAGGCCAGGACAAACACAAATCAAGGAATGGAGTTTTCCCAAAGCTGCAGTGTGAAAAGACTATAAATTGATTTCCATACACATGGATGGGTTTTCTTTGCTATAGGAAATCCAAGTGGAGCTATAAGGAATGGAGACGTGTAAAAAGGTTTCTTGAGAAGGAAAGGGAGAATGACACCCCATGTGCAGTTTAGTTTTCTGCACCTTCTGCAGCATCACATTCTTCTCCTGCACTGTCTGATGTCCATAACTAGAAAGAAAAGAAAAGTGGCGTCAGCTTTCAGAAGCAGTTTTATTTCCAAAAGGAGACAACTATCATGCAGAACTAAGCAATTACATTTCAGGAGCTAGGCAAAAGACCAACGCGTTGGAGCTGTACAACCCTGGCTTACGGTACTTGATTGTGCAGGGGTAATTGGAAACATTTCCCCATGCAGCAGGCACAACCAGTTATGCTCCTCAGCTATTAAAGGCAGAGCAGACTGTGAAGTCCAGATTTCTGTGCTCAGTAACAACCTACATCATTAACCTGAGACCGCTCAAGTCTGAATGACAACTTCAGGAGAAACATCAATTTAAAAAGCAGGGCTAGATCCTAAAGCGAAGATGGCCATTTTGGTTATTGAGACAAAGCATTCTATAATGCTAATAAAGCCATTTCTACTGAAGAAATATAATAAAATTATAAATCTCGCTGCAATTTTAAGTGCAGTGAACTATCCACAGAGAGGATATTCTCTATAAAAATTACCACAGTTACATATTTTAAGAGCCCAAAAGTTCCATTAGGCGCTTTTCTTACAGCTAATCATTACAACATACGCTCAAAAGTCAACTCATCATTAGTATACTGTAATTCCAGACCTTTTGTTTTAATGAAAAAAATCAGGAAAATGAATTAAAGTAAGCTACACTGGATATAACAACAGGAAAGACACCTCGTTTCTGAGGTAACGATCACAGAGTTTTAGAAAGAATCTCTTGACACATCATGGACGACTATTTTTGTACTCCTTGCCCTATTTTGTATGTTAGAATAGCTGAAAGCACCTTCCTCTGTTCCTTTCAAAGGCCATCAAGAAATGAAGAACACAAACAAGCCAAGCTGTCACTCTGTGTTAGACAGCATGGAGTTGATGACATCATAATTCAGCCTTAATGTAGCATAAGTAGAAAATATAATACGGTAAACAGCCTGAATTAATTACTAAGTTTTGTGCTAAACAATGTTTCCGTTTCATGACAAATTTGGTCTAAGCAATTAAGATTACAGAACTGACAGCACAGAAAACGTCGACTTACTGTTAGGTTGTCTCTAAGTAACTGCATGATGAGGGTACTGTCTTTGTATGAGTCTTCGTTCAGTGTATCAAGTTCTGCAATGGCCTCATCAAACGCCTGCAACGATTAAGCCATCTTTACTCTACTGACCAGTCATTAAAAAACAGAAGCTCCGTTTATCAGTATAGGCAGCTTTTTTTTTAAAATCCAAAAAAGTAATGTTAGAAATTAGTGACCTGAATTGCTCTACCAGAAACATGAACAAAGGCAGTAAAAACTTGTCGTGCTGCTTAGGATTTAAATACAACTGGCTTGCACCCCTTTAATTCCACTAACAACATGAGCTCATAAACTTGCTATACTACACAGGATGAACACTAGGAAATAGTCATTCAGATAATTTTAAGCATAAACACTCTTCTACTGTCCAGCATGCACAGAGAACTGAAGAATAACTTACTGTCTTGGCCAGTGTGCAGGCAAGCTCAGGGTTGTTGAGAATCTCATAATAAAATACAGAGAAGTTAAGAGCTAGACCCAAGCGAATCGGATGTGTTGGCTGCATCTCCTTCTTGCTGATATCAAATGCCTCCTGGTAAGCCCCCTGTGAGTTTTCTATTGTCTCTGTTAAAAGAATATGAAATATTTCAGTATGAGTTAGGGTCACTTTGTTCATTAAAGATACGATGCTTAGCAGGAGAGCAGACAGCCCTCCACTGAGGACTGTCTACTCTGCGTTAAATCATGGCAATCATTTTACATCCATTTTGGGTGGAGGTACCACACTGACAAACCGCAGGAGGCAGATGAAGGTATTACAAAGACAGATAAACCTACAAGGTTAGTAAACACAGACAATGAAAATGACTACAGTACCTCAGCTTGACATATAAACGTATGCCCTCTGACACAACACGATCCTTAGGTATCAAAAAAAATCATCCATTACTTTTTCTACAGAGCTCTCTGCACAGGATGAACATACCCATGTTTGAGTTGGGTGTGTAGCATTAAGAAAGCAACAGTTTGTACAGACCTGCCTCTTTTTGAGGAAGTCTAAAAGGCACGTGCTGCGTGGTTCTGAAAAACTAAGTATCTGCCTTCAAAAACTGGGTGAGGAGAAATAGGAAGTCGAGATTAAAGAAAACGAGGTCATGCTTAGATTAATTTGGAAAAGTCCCACACTATGCAGAGGTTAATAGGCCAAAGGAGATAGACTTGGAATGCTGCATATGGTCTAGTCAAGATTGTCTTCGGGAAGGCAACCAAAGGGCCAAAGTAACCCTAAATGCCCCTGCTGAAGTGTCAGTAAAAAAAAACCCGCTAAATAAAGTCTGTTAAGTGTTAAGTGAAAGTTGTTAACATACATGGAAGCTTCTCAATATTTATGGTGTAATGAGCACTAATGGTCTATTCTTGATTTACTGAGAACAAGAAAAAAAGGCAAAAAGCCTAGTTAATGCAGGAAACTTGCCTAGATATTAGAGACATTTTCCAAAAGCCAAGCACAAAGTGTGTACGTGGTGATACATGTAACACAAGTTCTTCACACGGAAAGCAAGAAAATCCACCTGTAAGGTTATCAATCAGTCCTTCTCTTACAGTAACAACCCGTATCAGCATGTAGCATCACTTTACAAGCAGTCTTTTCAGCTAAGATATGCTGGCATTTCTCTGCTTAGAGAAGTCCAGATCTGTAGCTGTTGCTTGAGACAAAAACATAGATTAGAGTATCTTTGTGAAAACCAGAGACAAGCCGCATCTACTGAACTCGGACCTGCTGGTGTCGTTTGAATAAGATGAAGGGCTAAAAATTCCTGAAAGCAACTAATTAACGTGAAGATTTTTACTCTGTTTTCTGTGTTTTCATCCTCCAACTTCAATCCTTTCAAGGCCTTTCATCTCTCTTCTTTACTACACCATCACTCCAGAACTAACTTTTGTTTCTTACACAGAAAGGCATCCTTAACTTCTGCCATACCGCAACTTTTAACATCACAACAGCACCTGGGTATCTTGCAAGACAGTTCTGTTATTTACTTCAGTACATCCTCTGGACAGAATTAAAACACTCCCAGAGATCTTACTGAGGTACTCAGGACCACCTACGCCTGCACAAGTTCTAAGTGCCTTCTTAGGACGCCCAGTGACAAGTAACCCTGCTAGGCTGTGAAGTTTTCCAGGTCTTTGCTGCTGGGTCCAGAAGGGCAAACTAATATTACAGGGATGACATTAGCCCCGAAGGGAGGTTGTGATGAGGAGGGGCTGGCCTCTTCTCCCAGACAACAAATAGGACCCGAGGAAACGGCCACAAGTTGTGCCAGAGGAGATTTAGATTAGACATAAGGAAAATTTTTTTTTCTCAGAGTGGTCAGGCACTGGAATGGCTGCCCAGGGAGGTGGCGGAGTCACAGTCCCTGGTGGGGTTCAAGAGGTGTCTGGATGAGGAGCTGCGAGATGTGGTTTAGTAACTCAGTGGGTAGTAATGGTGACAGGAGGACGGTTGGACTGGATGATCTTGTAGGTCCTTTCCAACCTTGTGATTCGGTGATTCTATGATCCCTATCAACATCAAGTTTCCCAGGGAGCTTATACTTTTCTCCATGGTTACTGAACTAGTAATGCTGTTACTTATTTAAAATCTTAGTTGGATGACTACAATGAAGACTACCCCACATTTAGATGGTTAAAATCATAAATAAGCATAACATGTTCATGGATGATGACATCAAGTATATTCCCAGACTAACACCTATTTTTTTCCCCAAAAGCTCTGAATGAGCATTATTAGACAGCTATCCAGAAGCACAGGGTAGATGGCAAGAACACCAGCCAAAATCTCCCTGCATACTGTGTTAAAGGTGTATTCAGAATTTTACCCTCTGCCTATAGAAACAAGCCTGGTCTTTCCCACACTGCTGACTTAAACATAAATTCAGAGTCAGACACTGATGTGTGTAGTTCACTTACTGTCCTCTCCCCCATGGCTCACAATTGAAGTTCATTAGCTAACAATGACCTAAGGACCAAAAGGCACTCACGTTTTCTGTCATCACCACAGGCAACTTCAGCAAGGTACCGAAAGTAGTCTCCCTTCATCTTCAGGTAGAATACCTTGCTCTCTGGATTAGTTGCATTAGCTATTAAATATTTGTCCAACAGCTCCTGGAAAAAAAAAAAGAGAATCAAGACATTAGCATGTTATAAACACTGTTTCAACTAAGTTAAATTTATTTTCTTCAGCATTTTTACATAGACTTTAATGTTAGCTACAAATTAACGCAAAAAAAAAAAGTTAAAGAGCATTTTAGATAGACTGAACAAACTGTGCAAATGCACAAAGCTAGATACTCTATTAAGATGATCATTTCAGTCAATTATCTGATCAGAGTGCAGAAAAAGTAACAAAAAAAGGCTTACTGGCATAGAGTTTCAGGACTGAGTTTCATTTCAGAATAGATACTTCTCATAAAAACATCACTTCAAAGAAGTAAGCTTTTACTGGAAAAACGAAATATTATGCAATAATTGCCAAAGCTATTTATAAGAACTCATTCTGTTTCACAGGAAAAAAAAAAAGCAAGAGGAATAACTGTGCAGCATTCTGTACAAACTGCATTCATTAGTCTTGAGATAAAGGATCTGCAACCTACCCACCAGAGGCAGCTACAGGTCTGCACCCATCCAGTTGGCAGCCAGCCTCATCAGACAGCAGCACCAGGAGCTGGTACAGCCAGACCCTGCTGGCCAGCACCATCCTGAATCCCTGCTCGCTTGCTCACACAGCTCTTCTTCCCCTGAGGCCTTGACAAATTGAAGGTCTGAGCAATCACCAACCACGTGAAGATGGACAACAGCAAGTGCTGGATTTTGTGCCTAGGAGAGGGCAGCTATGGCTATATGTACAGACTGGGGAATGAGAGGCTGGAGTGCAGCCTGCAGAAAGGGATCTGGGGATTCTGGCTAACTGCAAGAGGAACGTGAGCCAGCAGCCCAAAGGACCAGCTGGACCCTGGGGTGCACCGGGCCCAGCAGTGCCACCAGAAAAGGGGAGGGGTTGTCCTGCAATGCTCTGTGCAATCTCACCTCCTGCACTGGGTGGGGCTTGGGGGGGGTCAAGGGAGGACAGTACACAAAGGACATTCGTACTGTGCCAGAGGCCCCTCGGTGTGCTCAGCTCAGAGCAGAGGAGCTGAGGGGAGGCCTGATGGCAGGAGGGCAGCGCTGAGCTCTGCTCTGTGTGACAGCGACAGGGCCGAGGGAACGGCATGGAGCTGTGCCAGGGGAGGGGCAGCTGGGGGTGAGGGAAAGGGTCTGCGCCAGAGGGCAGAGGGCATGGAACAGGCTGCATAGAGCTGTGGGCACGGCCCTGAGTGCTGGAGTTCAAGGAGCATCTGGACACTGCTCTCAGACACAGGGGTTGATTTTGGGTGGTCCTGTGTGGAGCCAGAGGAGGGAGTGGATCCCCATCAACTCAGAGAATTCTATGTTCCCTACAGCCAGAGGAACAGGGACAGGTTTGCAGACCTCTAGGCAAGATGAGATGAGTTTATTTTCCAAGCTGTGCAGCATTCTGTATAAATGCACCCCTAGCCCTTCCATGGTGGGAGTGAAGGAGGAGGTTTGGATTTCCAGCAAGTGATAGCAGCACTTCGCTTTCAGGTGCTTCAGAGAACTGACAGGGAGAATGTTTTCTGTCTTCCCTGTCCCCAAGCCCCATGGATTTTACCTGACTCCTGACCCCAAAGCAGCCATGCTCTCTGGAGTTTACAAAAGATGCCAGTAGGCTCCAACACACTCAAGCCCCACAGAACTGAGAACAACTTTACACTAAGAAGTGAAGCGATAATGATCTGTATTTAGTTACTTGGAAAATTATCAGGTCATAAAAACTGCAGAAAGCCAACTTCAAGCAGCTACAAAAGTAATGTTCGAGTTCAACTGAATTTTAGATACAAACATTCTTCCTCCAATGCCTACTGCAACAGCACTACCACTACCTGCCAGCAACCCATCTGCAAGAGCTTACTCATCCCAAACCCTCTGAGGTGTTCGTTGGTAATGATTCTAAACTGCCATTTGTAGCAGAGCACTTCTAGCTGGGTGAAAAAAAGCCTTCTGAGCTTCTACACAGCATTCTTACCATGGATATAACATCGCAATACAGTCTGCTTTGTAGCTCCTTTCAAACATCCTCCTACCACCACATTAGGGAACAGCAAAGAGCTGGAAGCACTCCTACTACACTCCATGAGAACACAGCAGCAGAGAAGGTGCTACCTGGCACCCGACATCCTTCCACTTACCAAGTCAGAAACAGACTTTTTAAGTCTTGTAATGTTAGAAAAAGACTACCGAAGACCACACACTGCCTAACATGGCATATAAACTGTTAAAAAAACCTCCTTGCTTCACACGGTGAAGTAAGGAAGGGCTTGCATGAATGTATTAAATAGCACACTTCAATAGTGTTATGGAAGCAACAGCAAAACCTTAGATATGTTTCAAAACAAGAAGTAAGACAGAGTAGGCAGATGGGTAATAAAATCGCATTAACACTGTTATTTTGCATGAGTCACTCACTTTACAGCAAGTTATTCCCACCCTGCAGGTTTGAGCTCTGCGTAGGTAGTTTCCCAATGCCTCTCTCCGTAGATGGATGTCTATGCCAGCCACGATAGCACAAAACAGTTTCAAAGGCTCAGAGACAGCAATGCAGTACCCTCAGCTACAATGAAGAAGTTCCAAAGAAACCTCTCAGAGATGAGAAAGTTGATTCTTGACACAGCTGTGCTTAGAAAGGTTCCTTAAACTGGTGAGGAAAACTTAGCGATCTCTGAAGGACATTCTAATGCTGGGACTACCTTAAGCAGGTGAGATCCGATTTATACATGTACACAGATTACAGGTGAGAAATGATGCCAGTCTGAGGAACACTGACCAGACAACTAAGAAGGAAGCATTGTACAAGATTTTTAAACAAGTACTTGATAAGACCATATCCCTGATTATTCTTATTTTTATTAATGCCAAAATAAGACTGCGTAGAGACATGATGAGGTAGATGATGATCCATACTGAGAGTCACCAAGGTCAGGCCAGTGAGTGAATCTCAGTCATCTCAGAATCTCAAAGATGGAGACTCCACAGCCTCTATGAGCATCTGTTGCAGCATTCAGTCATCCATGCAGTAAATAAGTTCTTCCTCAGAGCTCCCCACATTTCAGTTTCACACCTGCTGCCTCTTGCCCTATGGCTGCTCACCACCTCACGAAGAAGAAACGTTGGGTTGCTGTAGGCAACTCCATTTGGAGGGATCAGATCCAATCAGCCCATCAGATCCATTTTTTTTTTCCTCTTCAGAGTTAGCAGGGTTGACTTAAAAGAGCTTTAGAGTAGTTCCAAGGACGAAAAGGGGTAAGTAACAGGCTTCTTAATGGTAAACCATAGGATGGCAGGACAGTGGTTGAGGGACAATGTGCTGGTGACAGCTTTCATCCTGTTCCACCATGTACTGAGTAAGCTGGAATGTATTTGAGATGTGTAACACCAATGCACTCAGGAGAAGAATCGAAAGGAGGAACAAGACTTTGGTAAGTCCCTGCTAAAGATGCCTTCTCCTGTCTTTAAAAGCAATAATGGGCTGAAAGACCACAGCTACAGTATAGGTAAGCTGGCGTTGAACTTGTACAGGATTTGCTGCTGCACACGTCTATGGGGCCTGATGAGATTCATCGTAGGATTCTGAATCGACCATCAATACCATGAGCCTTCTCTCAGTTGTTTGGCAACAGCACAGGTGTTCAACCTTTTGGCTTGCCACATGGAGTGAAGAACTGTCTCAGGCCACATACAAAATATAAACCAGTTACTGCACTTCAGTAACTTCATGTTTTCATTTAAAAAAAAACTGTAAAAGCAACCATAAAGCTAGTAGGATATCTGACCTTGTTTCTGAAAAAACTAATGCCTGAGTCTGGTTTGATGGCAGCGGCTGTAATTCTTAGTGAGCTCTCAAGGTGCTCATCAGAGATTTCTCATGACATTTTATTTTTCCTGTGCTTCACCTTGAAAACAGTTGCCCACAAACGTACGTACTGCCAAGAAGTGATGACATGAAGCCAAACCAGGCTGCCTGATGGGGCAGAGGCACAGCCATCAGGACCCAGGGCAGGTGCAGGATGAGCTGCGCTGGGCTGAATGCAGCTTGCACATTGGGAAAGGCTGGTCAACAGTCTGCAGAAACTGCAGAGGCTCCAGTCAGCTGGAAGCTGCCAAATGTTATTCCAATTTTCAAGAAAGGCAGAAAAGACTCGTAATTATAGGTCTGTCAGTTTCGCTTCAGTGTCTGGTAAAATTATGGAGAGAGTTATTCAAAGTCACCTGAAAGACAATGCAGTCATCTGACAAAACTAACATGGGTTCATGAAGGCAAAATCATGTCTTACTAACTTAATATCCTTCTGTGACAAATATACCTGCCTAGGGAATGCGTGGTTTGTGGGTTTTAGAAGAGCTTCTACAGCCATCTCTCACAGTATCCTCCTGGACACATAGCTGGACTCACAAGTATGAGCCTGACGCTTCAAGCCCATCAAAGTTGTAGTAAATGGAGTTACACCAGGCTGCTGACCCAACAACAGCAGGGCTCCCCATAGCTCAACTCTAGGGCCAGCTATCTTCAGTGTTTCCATCAATGACCCAGACACCGGAGTTGAGTGCACACTAAGTAAGTATGCACACATTAAATTAGGAGGAGTTGTTGATTCTCTTCAGGCCCTACAGAGATGCACAGTGTGCCAGTGCATCCTCAAAGCGCTGCCTGCATCATGCAGGCTTGAAACCTCATGATTCCATGCAGAAGTCTGAGAAAACTACCAGAAAAAAAAGTCAATGTTCGGAAAGTCTTTTTCAGACAGCAAAGAGCAAGTTACATATGCTGCTTTATTTCCTAGGTGCTCCTCAGCTGGGGGAGTGGAAGTGTCCAGACAGCAGCTCTCACTGACAGCTCATCGCTGATTTAGGGCCTCCAAAATCATCATCACACCACATAAGGTTTTACACTTGGGCTAGAGGAATCCCAGGCATCGATACAGACTGGAAGGAGCAGTCCTTGAGAGCAGCCCTGTGGAGAAGGACCTGGGGGCCCTGATGGATGAAAAGCT